AAGGAGGAGGCATGTGAAGTCAAACTTCCAGATAACAGTAGCGAAAGGCACTTCAGAGAGAGAAATTTCTTATGAAAAGGATGACGGATGGATTTTCTGCAGTACAGTGAAAAATCTCTGGAGGAAGTTAAAAAACCAAATCAGACTTTAAAGAAGCCCCCCTACCCCATGGTTTACAGGAGACAAAAATAACCAAGTTACATAAATCTAAAGGAAGAACAGGGGGAAATCGTTTCTGTGTTTACCAAAACGACAGACCCACATGGGGGCAGCAAAGAGTCATAATAGCTTTAAAAGAGTTTCTTCCCAAAGACTGAACCTGGGAATAATCACAAGGAATTATTGTCCGCAGCACCGAAGGCTGGAATTTTCAAAGTCAGGGTTTGCCCACCCACATCCCTTTCAAATCAATGGGAATTGAGCATCCAGCGCTCTTTGGAGGTTTTGGAAATCACAGCTCACATACATATTTCTCCAGTGAAGAGGGCTGTTGTTGATACATTCATTGACAGTGGGTTATTTTGGTTTCCTATCCATTGGGTGTTACACTTTGGTAACCCACTATTAGGCACCTTAGCACACGAGTTTACCAATTATCTGTCAGCTCACACTGAAGTCCCCCCTGAGGTCAAAGTGACTTTAGTGTTTTCCTGGATTGGGGCCCAAATTGTTTTAACATGCTCTAGACTCCTCCAGGACTGTGTCCCTCTAAACTCTCAGGTCATTTATTTGTAATGGCGGGTGAAGCTGAGGTTTAGTCAAATGATTTAGCAATGCCCACATGCAAATGAAGTAGGAAAACTGACTGATAAAGGCGAGCAAGGGACCCTCACCAAAGAGCAGCCAGCAGAGGAAGGGTTACTGCTCTGCAGCCCACAAAGTTGTTGTGGAGACTGAAAATGATCTGTCTGGGGTTCTTCTTCTTTTTAGCAGCTTTCCCAGGTAAGTGGATGAACCTACAGGTGTCTGGTTAGGACGGCTGGGCTAGGATAGGGAAGATGGTTTTAAAGCTAAGACGTAGCAGTAGGATTCAGAGATTCTGGATTCAAAATCCAATCTCTGAACAAATCACAGTGTGGAATTTTAAAGCCCCCTAGTTGATCTGGATACCGAATTTCCATTCATCTTGAATGGGAAGTAGGTGTCCAAATCCCTTAAACAGGGGGATAACTGTACTTCCCTACTTCACAGGAGGGTGGTGCGGATGAATTAATTATTACATACAAGCAGATCAGAAACGGTTATGAGGAGGGCAACAGAAGGACTTGGAGAAACCTGGGGAGAGGAGGAAAACAATGGCATTAACTGGGTTTTTATTGTTGTTTGTTGACAGGTGTCAGGTCCCAGATCCAGCTGACCCAGTCTGGGACAGAGATCAAGAAGCCTGGAGAGTCTGTGAAGGTGACATGTAAAACCTCCGGCTACACTTTTACCAGCTACAACATTCACTGGGTACGACAGGCTCCTGGGAAAGGACTAGAGTGGATAGGATACATCTATCCCGGTGATGGTGGCACTGGCTATGCCCAGGCCTTCCAGGGGCGATTCATCATCACCATGGACACCTCCATGAGCACGGCCTATCTACAGCTGGGCAGCCTGAGAACCGATGACACAGCCAGGTATTACTGTGCTAGGGTCACAGTGACACAAACCCCATCTACAGCAATTCAAAAACCCTCAGTGAGAGAACCCAAGTGTCCGACGAACACTGCAGCCTTTAGTCCCTCCAGAGAGCATTTGCCCATGTAAACAGACAGGGGGTAATTCCTCCCCAAACGTCTTAGGCTCCTAACTCACTTAAACCTCATTGTAAGTAGATTTTTCTTCTGTTTCCTTAGTGGTTTCTCAAAACGTGGAGTCGGCTCCTGTGACACAGTCACCTGTCGCAGCAGCAAAACGGTCCTGGGTGAATGCCCTGAGCACCAGGCTATGGGGTATTTGGGGAGGGGTCTTTCAATCTCTCCTGTTCATGCTGTTCTACAATGACTAAATTAATACTCATTTGGTCTGAAAGAGAATGGGATGCACTGGGGGTGTCTGTACCCCAAATGTCAGCCTGCCCTTGACAGTGGAAGACGTGGGCTCAAGTCCCAGCTCCCACATCAGGCAGAAGGGAAGAAAATGACCCTGGCTCTACCATGTCCTAAGCAAGTGCTCTAACCACTAGGCTAAAAGCCAAGGGATGCACCAACAAATCCTTCTCTGGTGTAAGTGGTTGTGGGGAAGTGGGAGTTAAGTAACAGCTTAGTCACCTAACTCCAGGAGAGGGCCATGAATCCCAACTGGGGTGAGCCACCTAAATCTCTTTCGCTGATGGGACTTAGGACCCAACCCCTCCTCAGCATTTCCTAGTGAGTAGGTCAGACAGCTCCCCGCTCAGTGCATATTCTTTTGCAGATTCCCCTTATCAAGCCCCTAAGTCTCCTCTAGACATGCACCCTTACCTCTAGGGCATCCCCACCTGCCCAGATGGGGAGTTACAGGAGACTTTTCCACTCACATCCCTCTGGTGGCCATTTCTCAGCAGCAAGTGTCTCAGGCAGTGTCTTCTCCAGGTTGTCCCACTGGGCCTCCTAGGTCTCAACCCAAGCCCCACAGCTGTTCAGTCCCATTCCAGGGGGAATCTCTGAACCAAAGGTCCTTCCCCACCCCTCCAAGCTTCACTTCAGTTCCTCCTCTTATGAGTGTAGAGGGCCCCTTAGCTCCTCCCACTGGGAGCCCAAGTGCCCTTTAAACTAGCCTTCTACCCTTCATGGCCTTCTAGCTCACTCCCTGGTCCTCACAAACCCTACCTCAGGGCTCCATCTCACTCTACCCCCCCCCCCCCCCGAGTTCACCCCATTCCCATAGCACTGCTTTCTGACCACAGCCTGTCCCCAACTAACTAAACCTTCCTCCAGCAACTCTGCCTAGATCCCCTCCCTCTAGGCCTCTACTGAGCTCCCAGCTCTATTGAAGCAATGCTCTCACTCACCACAACAGCCGGGCTCAGTCTTTCTAATGAAGCCCCATTACACCCAGCTGGGGTCACTAATGAGCTCCTATGTTCCCAGCTCATCAGTGAGGCTGAGGAATATCTGCAAAGTCATGGGTCAGGTAGATTCCAACTTGCCTCAAAAGACCCATCAGCCTGTGACATCTGCCCACGTGTTTCATAGGGCTGGAGGTGCCTAACTCAGGGGGTTGGATTGCTGGCAGGGTCTTAAAGTTAGGTAGTCCAAGCTTCAGCCACACTCTTCTTTGTGTTCCAAGGCCCTAAAGGGGCAGGTAGGCACTTACGTGGATTTTCACAGGATTGATCCCATGGTCCTGGGCACACAGGACCCATTGCAAGTCAAATCTCACCATGAACTTTCACCCAAACCCTTTCATTGATTTTCATAGAATCATAGAATATCAGGGTTGGAAGGGACCTCAGAAGGTCATCTAGTCCAACGCCCTGCTCAAAGCAGGACCAATCCCCACTTTTTGCCCCAGATCCCTAAATGGCCCCCTCAAGGATTGAACTCACAACCCTGGGTTTAGCAGACCAATGCTCAAACAACTGAGCTATCCCTCCCCAATCTTTATGATTTCAACGCCCATCTGGGGGTGGATCCCACATTCCCAATTCAAAGTGTGTCCTGCTTCAATCTTATTGCACTTTTGGAAGGTGTGAATTCAACAGAGGAGGTCGTTATTTCACTGTAAATTTGTGAGAGGACCAGCCCTGGCCCCAGGGCTTTAACCACAAGCCCATCTGGTCCCTTTGTGTGCTTGAATCAAAATACTGTAAATTCAGCCTTCTGCTTAAAGCCTGAGCTCCTAAAGACACTTTACAAACTACCTCCCCTCTTTCTGTAGCCAAGAATCTATTTCTTTTCATCCATCACCATTATCAGGAGCTCCTTCTCCGGATTTCTTCTTTTCCTCCCAGCTCCCTGGGGGGTGTTGTTCTTCCATAGAAATATTTCCAGAAAGAGAGTTAGAATGTACTTGTTGTATGTATGCCTTGGGTACATTGCTTGCATGTTTTTGTGTTTGCAGATGTCTAATGCGATGTAGGGCTGGCAAAGTACTCAAGAAAACCCAGGAGATTCCTTAACAGTCTCCTGCAAAGACTCTGGGTTCACTTTCATTGGCTATTGGATGAAATGGGTACCTCAGGCTCCAGGGAACGGGCTGCAGTGGTTAGCTGACATTAAGTAGGATTCAAGTGAAAAGTACTATGCAGACTCAGTCAAAGGACAATTCACCATCTCCAGGGAGAATCCCAACTCCCTGCTCTGTTTGCAAAAGAGCAGATTGAAGCCACCGCCCTGTATTACTAGGCCAGGGACACAATGAGACTAAATCCGCCCAGGCGCAGACAAAATTCCCAGACAAAAACTCGCTCGGTTCTGCACCGGGGAAGTTTTCACTAGCTAACGTTAAGAATAAGATCTCCACGCTCCCTAAGGGAGTTCAACGCACACTTTGAGTTTCCAGCTCCATTAATTGGCTTTGAAACTTCGCCTAGGTGGCCAGCTGCTAGGCAAGTTCTCATTGTTGGCTATGGCTATAATTGCTTGCTTTGGCTGTTCATTCAGACAGCAGAGAGCAAGACGTCTGTCCATACAGAGCAAACTGAACAGGGCTTCTTCGAGTCCCACGCTCCAAACCGAGAAATGAACATCTTGTCCGATCCCCTGCACCACACCCCTTCCTCGGGTTCAGGTAAAACCTCCTTCCTCTGCTGCTGTGACAGGGATGGCTCTGGGATCCTGAGCTGCCAGATTACAGTGGTGACAGACACAAACAAGAGGGAGAGGGAAAGAGAAAGGGAGAGAGATTTTCCACGATTTAAGATAAATCCCCAGAGTCACTTTCAGAATCTAAATCAGCATTTAAAGAAAAACAACGACCGATATTTTCTGGCTGACAAGACACAAAACACTCTCCAACATTAAAGAAAAGCGAGAGCAAGGTCCGGGGCAGCAAAATGTCCTGTGTAAGAACGGGGAGAAATATTTCATAAAAAGTGAACCCGGAGGCTTTGCAGGAGAGGCGGAGAGAGTCTCCGGGCTTCTTCACACCCCCTCCGGACTCCACCAGCGTCTGGGACCGGACACCTGGGAATAAAGACAGGCCATTAATGTCGGTATCAAAACAGCGAGAACACAATATTCTCCTAACTCTGCCAGGTCTTCAGAGGAGGAAAATACCTTCCAGAGCTGCTACAGCGACAATGACAAGGAGCAAAAATCCCATTTTCCCGGGTGCGGGAGGGGAAAGTTCTCAGGGGACTGGCTGGTGACTGCACCGACCCAGGGGGCTGCGGATTGTGTCTCCGGGTGCAGCCTGGGCAGAGGGAGGCTCAGATTTAAGCAGGAAACTGTCTCCCTCATTTGCATGCCCCGCTTTATAAGAGACACA